TTTAGTCTAAAAATATATCTCCGGACCCATCTCAAACTTACTTCATCAAGGTTTTTCTAATTTAACAACTCAGTGACAAATTTTAAAGTGCATTTCCGAATTTATGAAGCGGGAATTTGAAAACATATCACTTTTTCATGTTAGTCATAAGTCCGGAAGTGTATTTCCAGATTTAAGAAGCAGAGTTTTTAATTAAATAGTATCGTGCATGTTCTTCTTTATGATCAAATACTCATTTTCTCTCAAACCCTTTAAAAAATATTCTTGTATTCTCAATCAAGTTTTGCACTTCAAAACTTCATTTTTGTGTTTCATCACATCAAAAGGAGTAAAAGAAACTGAAATTTAAGGTAAAGTTCATGTATTTCATTCCTCATTGCTCACATTAATCTGGTTTTTGAGCTAAAAAAATTATGTTGCATTCGGAAATGCACTTCCAAAAGATGAGTTCATACGAAAGTGTATTTCTGCAATAGTTCACAGTACAATTTAGATAGTTTTTTAAAAATATTTTTTGTTAACCTTTACCTTAAGTATGGTGCACTCTGAAGTTATCCCCAAACCTATCGTGTCTAGAGATGTCAAACATGTTGATGCCAAAGAGGTAGATGCTGACAACAAAATTATCAATGGACAATAGTTTGTCGTTCATGATCATATGCTCTAATGGACCTGCAGAGAGGCATTCAAATTGAGGTTTGGTGTTGTAATAGAAAGGTTCGATAATGGTTCATATATAAGACTTGCATTTGGACACTAAGATGCCAAAGAAGTGGCAAGTACACAACTCCTCTCCGAAATTTGAAACGAGATGACACTGGTTCGAGGAAATGTGAGTGTCACTTTGATTTGCATGGTTATCTTTTGGAAAATAATAAATGGTACTAATGTGATTTGTGGTTTACATAACCATGACATGTCTCTGAAGTTAGTCGACCATGTTATTGCATGTCACCTTATGCCAGAAGACAAGAAATTTGTTTCTGACATGACATTAAATATGGTGCAACCCAAAAACATATTTGCAATTTTGAAACGCAAAAACCCAAGAAACATCTCAATATCAAGCAAGTATACAATCTTTGTGTCCTTAACAACAAGGCGATAAGGGTGGATAGAAATGAAGTCCAAAAGCTGTTGAAACTTCTAGATGATAATGATTATGTATCTAGATATCGAGTGTGCGAGGATGGAGAAACCGTTCGAGATATAATTTTTGCTCAGGATCATACAAAACCTCTTAAAACTGGTAACAAAGGCATTTATTCAATAAAGATATCTTTCATACATACTCTTTCATTATGAAAGACTGCTATGTAAGTACTCACAAAAAAAGTTTCAGGGCTATGACCCCGACGTGATTTACTCATGGAAAGTGTAAAAGGATAGTAAAAATACTCTACTTGATCCAAAACATTTTCAAATGGTTATGAGACCTCCTCAAGGGTCGAACTCATATAGTTAATGGACTACTGAGTTAACAAAGCATTATGAGAGCGCAAGAGCTCTAATTCCTTGTGAGCAGTCCCACGCACTGCTTCAAAGAATAGACAAAGCTTGATCTTTCATCTCCACAATCCTCACTAATTGATCTACCTGGTCCGAGCAAGGACCAACGAGCTTCAAGGGAAGCAAAGCATTTTTCACCTCATAAAGAGGAATAAAAGTTTCCTTTACTTCATAGATGTATGTATCCCGCTGAAGTCTCAAGTCACGGATATTATCCCCAATCCATTTCTTTTCAGCATATTCCTAGTCGGACCAGAAAGCATCCCAACAAGTTGAGGCATCAAGGACCAGAACCGGCGATCCGTCCAGAGCATACTAGGCAATTTACCCATTTCTTCCTCCACACAGAGGCCCAATTTTTTTAGTCAAGTTAGCATATTTCTCATCCAAAAAAGGGGGTTGATGACCTTCAATAGAGCGGGAGCCATATCTCATCAGTAAGGGGCCACCATAGTGACTAAGGGCATTTGAGGAAGTCAACATGTTTTTGTAGTAGCATTATTACTGACTGACCACTCCCGCCTTATAAGCTAGAACTATTCTTCATTAATCATGCACTATGCACAGTAATGAGTAAAACGTATACATCATGATTACTCATGGTAAAAATACCATAAAATTTAAAAAAATTTGAAGCTTACCAAAAATGGTTCTTCTCTCTTCTTGAGAACAAGCTTTTTTATCAATTACCTGATGTCAATGAGACACTTTAAACATTTCTTATCAGCTTCCGACACCAGGGAAGCTCCCCCTATATATCCTATATTATTGATAAACTTATTCAATCAACCTTTTTGACATTGGGCCTCTTTAGAAAGACACTTCTCATTATATGCGAAAAAGTTATTTCCCAGCAAAAAGTGATCCCCAACCTAATACTCAGGAAACAGATCGGTACATCAACCATCTACCCCATTGTCAACATCGCAAATTGTGGCATGAGCTTCGACGCTGACAGGGGTCACCATAAAGAACCGATCCCTAACAGATAAGAGCTTTCGAAGAGGTTCTAAACCATGGATGATTGGTTTGAAGCAAAGTAAATTTCCATCCCTCATCCATGGCACTGACTCTCGAAGAAATTTGAAAAGGTGAAAAAAAGGAACTCACACGGTCTTCCTTTCACATGCTCACACCAATAATGGTAGAATCTAATATATGCCCAACATGAAGGTGAAGTTGTGAGGGAGACATGGCCATATGGTTCAATACATGTACCTCAAAAATAAGTAAGAAGAAGACGAATTCCCAAGATGGAGAATACACTTTCATAAAAACTAATGGCGCAAGCACCATACTTATCACATATCATTTCATCCTCATAAGAACTCATAGTTCTCTAGTCAGAAGGTGAGTCAACTTCTGTAAAAACACCGTCAAGACCACCCGACTTGGAGAAAATAAAAGTAGCGGAGGAATAAACATGATCTAAGAAGATGAAGTGTA